ATAAGTAGGTAAAAACAACACAAAAAAACAATTCAATTATTTAAACAAAAATGCTTAATGTTGTGGCCTAGCTATAGCTATATTTAGCCAGGACAAAGCTAAAAGTTAGCCTAGTCAGTACAGGAGCTAAACCTAAGGAATAGCTACATTTTAGCCTGAATCTACCAAGACCATTACAATGATTTAAATTTTAATATTTTTAGTGGTAACTATTAGCAAGGTACATGTTAGCTAAGTGCCTCATATTCCAGCCAAAATAATACAAAATAAAATATAAATACAAAAATACATCTAACTCTCTCTCTATATATATATAATGTAGCCATTGCGAAGCTAGCGTTAAATTAGCTAACATTAGCGAATCAAAATACCCAGTTAAGAGTTGACACTGTCTACTGTATCTGTTAGCCCGGTCATCTGACAATGCTTTTAAGGCGGCTAACAAGGCTAACATCTTTAACAGTTCCATGTAGCCATAACTCAACGTGCACTCAAGAAACTGTACGCTGCTTTTACCGTCATGCATATTTGATCTCCTGCACTTTACCATAGATTGACCTCTTTTTAGACCTGGGCTATAATTGTGTGCATTTTTGATTAGCTTACGTTGCGTTGCTTGGCTAAAGCACCTGAGTGAAGACGAGCTTTTCTTTTCTTTTTTTTTTCTTACTTCCTGAGAACTTTGTGTCGTGTATTTTCTTCATCCTTCACTGTGTAGCAAAACATCCAACGTCACACCTTAAATAAACCAAACACAGGTCAAATCCTGTGAAGTGGTAAAACCTACGTACGTCCCGGGTTGTCCTCCCTTATCAGTATTCTGCTGAGGACTCAACACATGAACGGACCCGGCACTCAAGTCAAATAACCATTGGAGAGAATTAGAAATGTGAACTGAGAGTGAATGAAGCCAGCCACAGCTGGGCAGCAGCTAGCAGCAGTGTTGGTTCAGTTCTGCTCCCCTCCCTGCTACTCAGCCCTTTATTTACCGCTGGGCTGAGGTTCAAATCTTCAGTGACGAGACGCCGCCCTTTGATGCCAAATCGCTCGTTTCCTCTTGGTGTTTTTTTGTTTTTGGTTTTGTTGGCGTCCGCTGAACCGTGCGGACGTGAACGATGCGTTTAAGTGTGTGCCATTTTCCCTGCGTGTTTTACAAAAGATATCAAATCATGTTTAGTCCCCTGTGGAACCGGAGCACTTCCCCCCGCAATCACTTCTTCCTCTCTCTCTGTCTCTCTCTCTGTCTCTGTCGGCCAGGTCTGTTTCTTTATCTGTAAAACTTTCATCGTACCAAACACGCCGCTGCCGTGGAGTTAAATAGGAAGAGGCTGCATTACATTAATGGCTGGCTGTAACAGCCAATTGAAGGCCGGAGCGCAGCCGGCATTTATCAGTCAATAAGCCAATAAATGAGTGCATACATCAGTGAGGGGGGGCAGCGGGCCAGGCCCTGTGTTAACATTAGCTGTGATCTGGTCAGTCCAGTGGAGATGCATTCAGGGAGGAGTAAAAAAGTATGAATTTTTTGGGGTCAGTCCAGTGGAGATGCATTCAGGGATGAGTGAAAAAGTAGGCATTTTTTTGTTTTTTAAGCTGCTTTGGTTTAGAAAGATATTTTTTTATTTCTTCTATCAATGTTTTCGTACTGATCCTTTAACTGTGTGGAACAAATATAGACTTTTCTAATGTGGTAGCCGAGGGTCGGAGGTTAGTTTAATAAGTTGTAAGAATGGTTTAGAAAGTGTTAGCTTTGTGTTAGCTTTGAGGTCAGAGCCAAAACAATCACTCATTTATTGGTTTTGGAGTCTGATTTTTTTTTTTTTTTTTGCACATCTTGAAGGTAAACGGCAGACCTGGAGCTCTGTGGCTCTAGGGTCGGAGTGGGTCACTGTCCAAGTCCGCTCATCAACTACTCATTACGATAATCCGCCGTTTAAATTCGTCAGTATGACTTTTTCTTTTGATAACATTCTATTTGTGTATTTGTAAAAATATCATTTTAAAAATATTTTTCTAAACGTCTCAGGTGACCACAATTGAATTCCAGGCCCCGACCCCACAAGGGGCCCCGACCCCAAGATTGATAAACACTGACATGCCGTAATACCTTGATACTATCACAGTACTGCATACTGGACCTGTGTGTGTGTGTGTGTGTACTGTCCCCTCACACACGCCTCCTTT